TGATGTAGCTCATAGACTTTTACTCATCTTGGTTGTTACTATTGTGGTTCTCTCCTGGCGATTATCCTCATAAAGGTTTGAATTTATTGACACTCGTCTAAACACAAGAAAATATATTTATACCTAAAATTGTTTGAGTGTCACACTGTTTTGAAGGTACACATCCACTGTATGCACATCGTTCAACAAAAAGTTTTGGATCATTCGGGGCCTTTGAGAAAGAAGGACCAAAGAATTAATAGTCATGATATGATTTCGGTGACTCAGAAAACCATAACATATAGACATTGATAAAGGTCATGAAGCCATGTGTAGAATTCATTTTTATATCATAGAGAGTACATTCATATGAAGCTCTACAAAGCTTGATATTCTCAATTGATAACTCCTCATGAAATGTTGCTATCAAACTGTATTATGTGGCCAGCCATTGGTTTCAGTAATTATAATTAATGCATATAAGAAGCATTAGACAATACAAGACAAAGTTTCCCAAATTCTTACTAGAATAGAACCTTGCCAACAGTAGCTAATAACCGAAACTTCACCAGGTTACTGTACTACTTATTTATCTCTCTGATAAAAGTAAAAAAAAAAAAAAAACACTGTACTTATACCCTCTTCCATCTCTTTCTCTTTAGTAATTCAAGAGGGTCCATAATGATCCAAAATGCATTAAATGTATACAGATTCAAAGACCACTATAGGCATAGATCCAAGACAAAGAAAAATGAGACAACAGCTACACTCTCTGCAGTTATATTGAAACAACCACAAATCTTTGGCCAACTGAAAACAATTCTAGCACTTGTTGCTTTACATCACTAGAACTGCTTCACTATATCTGTAAGTACATTGTGGTTCAAATCTGTGTTGCCTAAAGTCAAACCACACATTTCTTTGTCTAATTATAGATTATTGATATCCAAGGATAGCTTCTAAACTCAACCAAGGAAATATTTGAAGTTGAAGGAGATTGTTTAAGGTAAAGTAAATCTAGCATTTCCCGGATAAAATATAAGACAAAGTTTTCACTTTCTCATGATACTTATTAATATTTCACAACAATTAATTGATTGCTAAAAAAATGTAACAAAGGAATACAAAAGACAGTTGGAAATTACTTAACATTATATTCTGAATAATCCCATCTAAATGAGTTGACATGTAAACTCTCCAACATCAATCATTATCAATCATAAAACTCTTGAATATAAGATCTTGCTAAAAAGAAATTGAGCTCCATATTGCTCCTGAAGGAATATAAAACTTTGAAATGACAGAATAAGAAAGAATAAGGGTTGCTAACTTTTTTGGTACTACCAGGGTATCCCTTGGCAATGAACTAAATCTTTCGGTATGTTGGCTGACCCTTCCAACAAGCATCGCTTCCAGAAATCGAACCTTTCACATTTTGGTAATCTTGAGGATCCAGTAGGGTCTTACACCACTACATGCGTTGTTGGTGGAACTTGGAAGCAAGACTATACTAAAAACAAAGAAATCAAAATTCTATATTTTCTAAAATGTTAATACTAGTACAAGGCTAAACTACAAATTTGGTTGAGAGGACGGTGTGAGCACTACGATTCTAAGCTATAATAGACTGAACAGAGTCAATATGCACAGAATTGGTCCTTCCTTCACACTTCTTCAATCTTCGAAGGAGCAGCAAACACAATTAATTTGAGTTTTTTCAAGCCTAGGCATTCCATTCCATAGAAGTTGCAAATTCTAACTATCAACAATTAAAAATGGCTTAACACTTCAATACTTTGTAACCTGACCCACAATTAAAAACCTTCATTATTCTGCGATACTCAAATTCCTAACTAGTGGTGCTTCAACCATTTTTTCTTCCAACTTATGTGTAATGACCAACTTGGACATTGCCATATCTATTGAATGAATGGGGCCACTATTCCAGTTATTCTCACTGCCATAATGTAAAAGGGTAGTAGTACCTTGCAAAAAACCCATAGACTTAGATTCTTCAGCCTCATTACCCTTCTTAATCTCAATTCGGGTCGGGTTCACATCCGCGTTGTGATCCGAACCCGGTATCATTATAGAACCAGAACCAATGGACTTACACCTCACCACTCGATTCACTTGATTGAAGAAGGTCCAATCTGATTCTCTACACCTCCCACACTGGATACTTTCCCATTCCTTCTTCTGTTCCCACCCTTAATACTCTCACAACTTCTTCACTCCTATCAACGTCACCACATTCAAACACCCCATACCTCTCACGCGCCACGCGCCTGCTCAACCCACTCCACACCGCCACCGCACCAATCCTCTTCCTCACATTCTTAACACCCTCCACCACCTCCTCCATCGACGGCCTCCTCTCCGCCGTCGACCTCACGCACCTCGCCGCCAGAATCGCCAGCTGCCTCACCACCGCTGCATCCGCCGGAACTCCAATCCGCCGGTCACATATATAGCCGAACTCACCACGCTTGATCAACGGCACCGCCCAGTCCACACCGACGGAGGACTGTAATTCAAATCAATAGCGTTTCTTCCACTTACAATCTCCAATAACAAGATCCCGAAACTGAATACATCAGTCTTGGCGCAGAGATCCTCCGGCGCAAGATAGCATGGATCGAGATAACCTAACGTCCCCGCCGGTGGCGTGCACAAAACGCGAACGTCCTCCACGTGTCCCCTTAGTGCAAGTCCAAAATCACCGAGCCTCGCGTTTCTATCGTCGTCGATTAATACGTTAGAGGATTTAATGTCTCGATGAATTATTGGAGGGTTAGAAGAGTGAAGTGTATGAACGCTTTCGCGACTTGGAGAGCGAACCGGATTCGTTCGGTCCAACCGGGTGGTCGAACCGGAGAGTGAAGTAAATCATGTAACGAACCGTTCGGCATGTACTGAACGACGATTAATTTGTTACCATTTGGATCAGTGGAGAAACCGATAAGGTTCACCATTCGGGTGCTGTTTACATGAGAGAGAATCTCGATCTCGTTTTCTGCGGGGGTTGTGATGTGGCGGTGGTGGTGGTGGCGGGAGGTTGTTGTTTTGGTGGTGAGCTTTGTTGTTTTGACGGCGGCGATGAGTTTTCCGGCGTCGAGAGTGGCTTTGTAGACGCTGCCATGGCTGCCTTTGCCTAAGAAGTTGTCGTCGGAGAAGGAGTTAGTGGCGGCGACGAGGTCGGAGTAGTGAAATATTCTGATAGTGCGAGTGGTGGTGGTGGTGGTGGTTTGTTGAGATCCCAGTAATGGGGATCGCAGGTGGCGATTGCAGATTCGGCATTGCAAGAGAAATAACCCATAAATGAAGAAATGAAAATGATAATTAGGGTTTCAGGAAGGAAAGATGAGAAATGAGATAGAGAGAAAGATTGAAAAGAAGAGAAAGCAAAACAGAGAGTGGCAAAACCCATGACCAAAATCAAAAGTGTATGTCCACCTCTCTATACGAGCAATGATATTATTATATCCATATAAAAAGTGATATAAATCAATTATAAATAAATTATTAATAAACACAAAGTGAAAATTTGTGACACGTGTTATTTTTCTTTGGTATAAAAGAATTTAGAGTATAATATATACATTGTAAATGTAAAGATTTATACATATTTATTACATCATTCATTTGAATTACCTGTTTTGAAGAGACCATGATAATTAAATTTAAATGATAGATAATGTAACGATAGTATATAAAACTCATACATTATAAGTATATATATTTTCCCTAAAAAAATTATAGAAGAAAATATCATTTTTCTATGATTGACCATTCCTTAATGAAATAATTCTACTAATTTATATATTATGATGTTTGAGAACAAAAGTGTATCTCCAACTTTATATATTATAATTTTGTTGTATTTCATCATTTATAATTAATTATTATTGATCAACCTAAAAACTACTAAAAATAAAATAAATAAACAATAAGTAAATGATTATATATAATGAATATTATATTGATGGTATAAAAAAGCTCATCACCATAACAAATGATATTAAACATATATGAATTAATTAACTAAATCCAAATGTTTTGGTTCCATGTTGCTTACATGCTAGACACACTATCAAATACAATACCATAATTTAGCATATGTTGGTATAAATATGTTTTTAATTTTAGTTTATAAATTATGAGATTATATTGTTTATGTTTGAGTATTTAAACTAAAAACTGAATACAAAGTACTATATTTTGTTTTTGTAAGATAGAAATATTGTTTTTACATAGTAAATTACAGAAAAATGTATGAAGTTATTTTTTATATTATCATTACTTTGATTGTTTTTTACACGATTTTTAATACCTAATTAATGTTCCATAATATGATTTTTTTTAATATGTAAATGTTATAAGAAAAATTTATATTATTGCGCAAAAGAAATTAAATATAAAAAATATTGTCAATAAATTAAGAGGGACATGTCATGGTCTTGGTCATATCCCTACACCATCACTAGAAAGAGTATCCATCTACAATGTTATTTATAAAATGTGTCATGTCTTCTATATATTAATATTTCTTATGATTTGTTGAAAATATATTTGAATTAAAAATTTAATATTAATTTTTTTCGAACCAATTACAAGTGATGACATACGAAATAATAATAGGCATAAGATGCTCCTTTAGTTCCCTTTTATTTGTTTGCTTTGTTGAATTCCTGTCCCTCTTTGACCGTCTGAACCGAAACTCCCAATTAGAAATCAGAAGAATATGATTTGCTTTAATGCACATTATTGTTGAATATGTCGGGCGATAGATTAATCAATATATTGCATTGTTTCTAATAATTGATTAATTATTTTAGCTAATAAGTGAAGGAATTGGATGCGTTAACTTTTAGAATGATGAAAAAATTGATTAACTTGTTCATCACGATTTTACCATCCATATCTTTCTTCCACGCTTTTCATTATGAATCAATCACAACTCACCTTCACTTAAATATAATAATTCTCATGAATAATGAGAGAGAAAGAGGTGTTATTGGTTTTTTTTTGTTAACTTTCTTCATCAATTATTCTTAACTTTTCAATGTAATACTCTTTGTAACTTCTATTCCAATTTTTTCTTCACTTATTGCAATTAGGGTCTAGTTGTGGTAGTGAAAATATAAGAAAATTTAATATGAATACTTAGTAAAAAAATTATATTTAGAGAGAAAAAATGTATGCATTGACAATGTATAAGTTTTATACACTGTCATTATATCATACCTCATTTTATATAATCATCGTTAATTCCTGTGAAAAAATAATCCAAATGAATAATAAATACTATAACAATTGTATATAAATCTTTCATTTTTTAGTGTAGATGGTCCAAATCATTCATTTTTAGTGATAGTGGCTGAAGTGCTACAAACAAAGTGAGTATGGACAATTGGACAAATTAAAAAACCAAACTGTATCCCTAAAAGTCGAGGAGATTATGACATGTGACTTCCAAATTTTAATAGTGTAGATTTAATTAATTTACATAAAAGGAATTATAAATCACAAATCAATTTACACCTCACATTCTAGTACTGGATAGTTCGTGTGATAGAGGATATATAAGACACAGTGACTTGGTTAAGCAGAAACGTGGGAAGAGAATCTGTTTGGTTGCTTTTGTTTTTATAAAGTATGGGAAACAGAGAAGTGAGTGGAGCTTCTCTCTCAGCTTTGACAATGAAGCTGTTTTGGGTTTCTCAAAAAATAACTTGAACAAGTTGGAATTATGCATTCCATACCACGTTATTGTTGTTGGCATGCCTATGGGCAAATGCATAAAGAGGTTAGGTGCAAACATTCAATTCAACATGAAGTAGTTTCTTAAGTTAATGTTATAGTTTATCTATTCTAAAACTTTTGAGGTGTTTAAGATTATTCATATGATTTTTAAAATCTAATCAATAAATAAATTAAAATACAATTTGATTGATATAATCACAATTAGTATATATCGAAACTGAATTAAAAAACGGAGAAATACAAGATGAAAAAAATGAATAATAATAAAGTATAATGAGAAATAAAAGTATAAATATGTATTGATTTTTAAAAAACATCAAAAGATTTGGATTTGAAATGACATAAAACAAAAAGTTCAAACAATATAAACAAATGTGGAGGAGAAAATGCTAAGTGAATTGTTAACAACAAATTCACTTTTTTGGGAGTCAGGATGCAATGTTTAAAAATGAAGGATAATTATATTCATCAAAAAAACCAAATTCATTTTTTTTCATGTTACAAATATATTATATAGTAAATGAAAAAAATGTCTACATAAAAAATTTCAACTTATGGTTGATGAGTTATAGTTATTGAATTAGTAGGAGTTGACTTTTGACTTTGTTCCTTAAAAACCCAAATGCTTAAATTGTTTATCTAACTCTGTTTAAATGTGGATTATATCAAATGATATTTATTGGATTAAATGACTTACTTTGTACGTTTTGTGTGTTGCCATTTGATAATCTCATTGCAGTTAATTGGCTGAGTTAAGGATGCTTGATTTGGAGTTATAGGAGCTTTTAAATCTAGATTCCTTATTTCCACCATTTTGTATCATGATTGAATATTTGTGGAAATAAGTATTTGTAACTATGATCCTTATAATTTTTGGATAATTGTAACTCTGGATATTTGTAGCTATGGGTATTTTGGAAACTCATAGCTAGTTGTATGTGATAGTTACCGGGATACATTAATATGAATTATGATTTTCTGTTAAATGAACGGGTATGTGAATATTGTGTTATGGAATGAGTACAAACAGGAAAGTGGGATTTAAAATAAGGTTGTTGAATTTGTGATTATAAGTTATAGGAAAAGGTATGTGAAAAGAATAAAATTAAGGAAAAAATTTCAAGGGTAAAATTTGGGTTCTTACAATGGACACTAGAGGATTCTCGCTTGAGCGAGAATCCCTCGCTTCAGCGAGAGCGTCAGCGTTGAGTTTTTAAAATGGGCGGGGGATATTCTCGCTTGAGCGAGAACCCCACGATTCAACTTTAAAATAGAAACCCCAAACACTTTTAGGGTTAGAACTTTGGAGAGAATAGAGAGAAGAGAGCATTTTGAAGAGAAATGGTTCGTGAGAATCATCTAGAGGCTTGAGAAGAGGTAAATCTCTTGATTCTAACTCTCTTCTTCCCTTTGAAACTTGTTATGGGTGTATGGGAACTCTTCTCAAAATGTGAGAAACCATGGAAACTCTTCCTTTTGAGTTGTGGTTCGTTTTATTTAGTTTCTCTCTTGTAAACTCTTGGTTTGGAGTTGATATTCGAAGAATGGAAAGGGTGAGTGGGTTGATTCATGAAAACCCCAAAACCCCGAAAATGAAAATGTGGTTAAAGAGGAAAATGGGTGAAATGATAGATGTAGAAGATGAGAAGGTGTTCTAATGTAAAATAGAAGATGAAATATTTATGTTTTAATGTTTGGGAACTTCTAGTGAAAGTAGTTTTGGAAACATTGGAAATAGGTGAATATCATATATGTTTGCGAATGTAATATGGATTTTGTATATATTATTGGGAATAAATTACTGACTTTTATTGTTGTTTGGTGGGGATGAGGAATGATCCTAAGGTTGGAGGAGGTAGTGAAGGAAACTTGTATAGTTATCCAAAATCGACCCCAACACTCACCAAGGAAAGGATAAGTCTTTAACTTGTACATTGTATAAGAAAATGGGTAGATTTTCTGGTTATAAATTGATTTGTGAATCAATGAAAGGAAAACATATTTTTAGCTACCCTCAAGTAGTGTAGCGACTTTGGCTCAAGTTATGTAGCAAGACTTTGGCTCAAGTAATGTAGCAAACTTTGGCTCAAGTAATGTAGCAAGCTTTGGCTCAAGTTATGTAGCAAACTTTGGCTCAAGTAATGTAACAAGCTTTGTCTCAAGTTATGTAGCAAACTTTGCCTCAAGTAATGTAGCAAGATTTGGCTCAAGTTATGTAGTAAACTTTGGCTCAAGTTATGTAGTAAACTTTGGCTCAAGTAATGTAACAAGCTTTGGCTCAAGTGATGTAGCAAGCTTTGGCTCGAGCTATGTAGCAAGCTTTGGCTCAAGCTATGTAGCAAACTTTGGCTCAAGTTATGTAGCACGTTTTCAAATATATATAAACTGTTGAAATGGTTTTAAGTATTATTATGCTAAATTGCTTACTTAATACT